CCCAAATACCAAAAAAACTGCAGAATGGAAATGTGAAAAAGGCAGAAATGAGTGCACAAGATTGGGTATTGTTTTGTGTATGAAAGCAGGAAATGGTCTTAAGTAAATATCTCCTACAAAGTGCATGATATGGATTTGGATTCGTAAACGATAGTTATACATGGGAGTAACAATTAAATCTATTCTCAGTATATGGTTGTGGGGATCGTTATGCTTTGATGGAGATCATGAATCAATCTATGTTAGACCACCATTGAAAACCTCGGTGAGAGGCAGATACCCACCAAAGGCAATCGAAGATGGTCGCACAATATTGTGGGTTGGTTGAAGTTAAAGATTTAACCTGTTGGATGACAGCTCAGTGGTCTAGAGGTTAAACGTTCGGCCGAAAGTCCCGGGTTCGAATCCCACATGCGAGATCACGAATATGCATTGCTGAGGAGTCCCACACCAGGACAAAACGGCCGTCCAGTGCTTCTAGGTTTTTGATGGTAGTCCAAGATTGATCGACTCATGATCTAAAATAAAGCTATTCTGTCGGTAATTGCATGTTCAATATATACATTTTGTTGCATCAATTCATTTTTATATTGTTTATTTTAGTCTTCTCATTAATTTTAGGACTGCAATCGATCAGTTTCTTATTGGCGTATGTGCGGATTGCCCCGATATTGCCTTAAGTCAAAAGTACAGATGGATGGTGGCTAGCAGTGGGATCCAGGACGAGCGTTTCGTTCTATATGTGACTAGTCAGCTGGATGTACCTGCGCAGGCTAGTGGCTGTCTGGGTTCAGTAGCTAAGTGGATAACGCGACAGTACTGGGTTCGAGCCCTGGAGTGAACAAGTCTGTGGATGCAGGTATATTCGGCTGACGAGTCCAAAACAGAACCAAATGTGCGTCCTCGATTCCACTGCTAGTCACTATCCATCTTTACTTATTTCGTTGTATAAAGATGTGATCACTTTACGAAAATATAGCATCACCATATGTCTAGATGAAGCGTTTATCAACGACATTTGTTCAGTAGATCACTAAATGATTTAATATTCTGAACTAAAAGACCTATCGTTTGAGCACATTGAGTTAGCTTTACAACCAAATGATTATGGTGGATTACCACTAAAATTTTATCTCGAGACTTAATTTGATTATAAGATGAATATCATAGAGGAATGATGTATCAATTGTGTTAATATTGAATAGCCTTCAGTCAACTATGTAAAATAAGAATTTATTAGTAAAAAAAATTATATTTTTTGTCTTTAAAACATGCAGTGTCATATCTGCACATATAGAATTATTGGTTTACTGAACAAATACTCTAGAGTACAAAGCAATACATGATGGATCGAAAATAATATCAACACTTGCTGGAACACACAAATACACTAAGCTAACAAGCTCTAGATTCCATTCCTGATCATCACTAAATGCAATAACATGTTTACAGTTTCACAACATGGCAATATCACCTACAAATACTGGTGCATCTATTTCCCCCACCACCAAGAAAAACAGATTATTGAACTTTTCATATCATCATATTTAATAATTACATGTTGTCATCAAATTGATTGTACTAAAATCTTTATGTACAGTATACATTATTTTTGCTTGACAACAAACCATTCAAACTAGTTTTTTCTTGTTCTGTGAAATATGCACTACAGAACAAAATTTCATCGTTCTACCAATTCATATAAATTGTAAGAAATGGAAACAAGCGTCAAAGTAAGGATATGAATAAACGAAACCAAAATAATCAATAATTACTAGTCCAATGGAACTAGTGAATGATTATTTAATTTCTACTCTACTACTTACTGATTACAGTATTGAACAAGTTTATGAAACTTATGCATTGTATGTACAACACAAATACGGATAAACGTTTAAGCGATTGAATAGTTAGTGATCTACTTAGTTTTATTTCTTAAGCAGACGTTACTTTTTTTCATTCACATTATCAATTCACACAATATAAATTAAAAAACCTGAATTTATTTTATTTATTTAAACACATAAATATTGGTACAATGAAGCACAAGATAAATATGCACCTCACAAATCTCATTCGATTTGTGTGAGGGCTGTGATACTGCCCAGGTGCCCAGACTGAAGCAGGTGGTTTTCTTAGGGGGCCACACCCGGAGCCTTTGACCTGAATGTCTGATCCACAAGGCAGTGGAGCATCGTGAGGAGATGCAGTCCCATGGTAGCCGTTGACCAATGACAGGTTCATACGCCATTCGTTCCATCAGGATACTGGAGCCCATGTGCACCATTGGTTTGGAATCAGGGTTTTCCAACTCCCCTAGGTGGACTTTCTGTGTCCACCAACCCGGTTAAAGCGCCGGACATTCGCTTTTCGTCCTCTCACTTTCGTAAACAACACCCCCGCCACGAGAAGGCAGTGAGTAGGACTTCCCTGACAGAGGCGGATGTTAAGAATAAATTAGTAGATAAATAGAGACAACTATTGTGAAAGATCAGAACGAATGCATCACGTGATTTCGCATCAATATTGTTTAGATTACCATAAAAACATATTTAACTTTTAAAAAAGTGTTTTTAACATTTTTATATGAGATATCTAAATCGTTAATTGTATAAACTAGGCTGATAAACAAAATAGGTATGACAAAATAAATTTATTGATATATTTAATTGGGTGATCATAGCTTACTTGTATAGTACACGTTTACATTACTATGTGATTATTGAAGCTGACCTTAGTGGTTGAAGTTTGAAGGTCCTAATTCAGTAATTAATGATACTAATGGTCTTATTCAATATTGTGTGTTTAGACTAGACGGGTAAACAAAATAGATGGTTAAAAACTTGTTTGTTTAATTTAGTGATTTGCCGATATTACTTTAATTCGCTCATAGATTATCATCATGCATTAACTTTAACATAGATCAGTCAGCTGTAATAAATGTAGGACCTGGAACATGATTTGAGGCAAGATAAAGAGTGAAAGTGATCCCTGCGTAACTGAATTTAACCCACATAACCCCTATGTCTCCAACAACTGGCGGCGACAACCATGAGGATCCCAAAAGGTAGTCTGGATTTATTAACACTGCTTAGACCAACAAAAAGTTAGTGACTTCATGGATTGATGCTTCGACCTAGTTTGACCGCACCTAACTTTCAACTTTCTCTCACTCTAGCCAAATTAACACGTTGAAGTAGGCAGTGATTGAAAACCTAAGTCGATGAAGATTCATAGTCTAATCAATCAATTTTTCATTTTTTTTCTTTGTACCATATATTTAACCTCAACGTTGCTCACTCGGTCGTTTTATGATACGCGACGAACACTTCAAAGAAACTTATGATCAAAAATGCCGTTTAGTTTTATAGGCCATGTTTTACAGTCATACAGGGATACAGAGCGAACTGTTACTCAGTATGAATGATAGTATTGAAATATTTTGAAAATGACATATTTATCAGAAGCAGATTGAATATTTGTTGCCCTATATCACGAAATAACTGAAGTTAAAAATACGAAGCGTTTAGCTCTAGCTGTTATCAATTCATGATGAGAAACATATCATACCATACTACTAAGCAGTAAACAGAACAAAAACAAATTGAATATAACTTTCACCAGAAACTGACATCAACTATAGAGTGAATGAAAACCAAAGATAAATGTACAGGCATTTAGTTCGAGGTTGAGATTCATCAGCAATGTGCTCCTACTTCTCTACATGGAATCAAACTTAGAAACCTTATGATCTCTTAAAGTGAGCCACACATACCACTTCGACACTGAGTCTAGACTAAATTGTTTATTATAGTTGAAAGCGTGAGTCAATTGAAGCTAGACCGCCATGGAAAACCTGGAAACACTGGACGGCCGTTTCGTCCTATTATGGGACTCCTCAGCAGTGCGCATCCACGAACCTACTCTCGCGAGCGAGATTAGAACCCAGGACCTACCAGTCTTGAAGACAATTGGTGAATGGTTGCTCAACTTCGTGGATCAGTTGAAGTTAGACATTAACACCGTTGGATGCCAGCTCAGTGGTCTATCGGTTAAGGGCTTCGGCTCGAGACTGGTAGGTCCTGGGTTCGAATCTCGCTCGCGAGAGTAGGTTCGTGGATGCGCACTGCTGAGGAGTCCCATAATAGGACGAAACGGCCGTCCAGTGTTTCCAGGTTTTCCGTGGCGGTCTAGCTTCAATTGACTCACGCTTTCAACTATAGTAAACACTAAATCTCCACAAAACCCCTTCTATAATTAAATTGTTTATATTTATTAGTTTCAGTCAATTCGTAATACATCACTATTATCATAAAATATTACTAGGACTTGAGAATATCTATGTGTTGGCTTATTCTACTGGTTATTATTCATTGGACACCATTTCACTGAACTCTCTCCAAACCAGAACAATAGTTCACCAATACACACTCTAATAAACCTGAAAATCAAAGACCCAGTAGAAAAAACATTAAAATTCACATAGAAATCTCTTGAATTATCGATTTGTAAACGAGAATTGATTGATTGGAAGTCGATTAATTGACATATTCCGACGTTTCGTTCAAGAGGTTTACTTTTTTCTTGGATTACATTATTCATACTTAATCTTTTCTGCTACCACTGAGGCTGTTATTATTTCTAATAATTTGACATTTATATCGATGACTTCATCTCGCTGTGATCAAATAATATGGCCCCCAAATGCCCTGGTACGGCCGAGGGTGGGGAGAGTCAGTTCTCCCTCTTGAAAAGGTCTCACATAGCCACGCCTATACATACATTGCCAGGGAAGTCCTACTCACTGCCTTCTCGTGGCGGGGACGCTGTTGGCGAAATTGAGAGAACGTAAAGCGAATGTTCGGAGCTTTAACCGGGTTGGTGGACACAGAAAGTCCACCTAGGAGAGTTGGAAAACCCTGATTCCAAACCAATGGTGCACATGGGCTCCAGGATCCTGGGAGAAAAAATGGCGTACGAACCAATTGTTGGTCGCCGGCTACCATGTGACTGCATCTCCTAATGCTGCCCCACTACCTAGTGGATCAGATATTTACGTCGAAGGGGAGTGGTCCCCTAAGAAACACAACCTGCTTCGGTCTGGGCACTCTGGCAGTATCATAGTCCGCACATAAATCAAGTGACTTGTGTGATGCATATGCATTTGGTGCCCCTTTGTACCACTATTTATGTATCCAAATATATAAAAAACCAAGTTCGACGTTACTTACAACCGATGAATGCTTTGCGATAACTTATCTACCACGAACATTGTGTGATGAAGATTTCCTAAGGATAATACTAACCTAAAACTTGTACCATTGAAGATAGAGTTAGCGTCTAATTTTTATTATGACATCATCCAGTATTTTCTTTTCCGAATGTTTACAATTATGATGTATTCTACAGTCTAAATGTTAGTCAAAACCATTTAAAAAAATTTCGAACTAAGTGATTACTTTTAAATAAACTTCTCAATTTCGCCAAACCTATAAAAACCGATAACAGCAGTAGTAAGCTGAAACATTTTGTAAAACTTGTTTGAGACGTAAAAATTAAGAAAATATATGCATTAAGAATGTTATGAATAAGAACAAATTTCTAATGATGCTACAAAGTAAGGGTTGACTAAAATTGGATAGTATTTGATTGTTAGGAGCCAAACAATAACTGAAAGGTGATGATATGTAATTTATGGAACCTGACGTTTTTAATTGAGTCCAGTCAATGAGAGTCAATTGTAGATCCATTATAATTATTTAAATCACTTGTAAATACACCTTAAAACATCCTTTACATGATTTAAGTTTATAAATTAAAGGTTGGATAGAACCAATATAAAAAAATTTCTATTTCTGAATGGTAATTTAGAGAGGGAGAAGGTACTTACGGCGAAGACAGAAGTCAAAAAGCCTAATATAGCTCCAGCCAGTACATCTGTTGGATGATGATAGTGATCGGTTACACGTGTGGCACATATGTAAAACAAAACAGAAAGCAGACAATATTGTAGAAATGGTCGTAGGAAAGGTATCGCAGGTAAATGCAGTCGAGCCTGTAAATAAATCTGTAAAAGAAATAATAAATTCGGTGTTGGATTAACGTATATTTCAGCACCTAAAATATATGTGTTCATTATTTTTTTATAAAAAAACAGTAGGGGGGAAAGTTACTTGTATTGTAAATAACTCTTTATTCTGTCACTTAACATTAATAGATTGGTAAAAATGTATTTTAGAAAATTCTGGAAAGTCACAATAACTGGCTACATTGAACTAGAAAAAAACAATATTGACAAGTTGATTAGTCTATGGATTAATTACTTCAACATAAAAAATTAGTAGAGTTTTTATTAGTAAAAAATAAATTATTTAGCACAGTAATTTAGTTACAGCCCCCAAATGCAGTTAATTTATTGATTAGCTAATATCAATTACTGTTAGATCAATATTATATGCACATTTATCGATTAACCGGAAATAGAAAATGATAAACATTTCATTGTTTTCTTTATAAAATGTCATTTGAATCAATAGTCGGTGCATAAATAAATATAGATAAACATATCTATCTATTCATCAAATGCAAGTGGGTGTGATTAATATGTTGAATTTAATTAAAATGATGACGTTAGCGAACATTGTATGTATAACAACACAGTATTAGTATTAAGTCTACCTTATATAGATTAGAAAGTCAGAAATGTTGTGTCACTAGTTAGATACAGTTTGAATATTGACATATATTTTTTTAGTACGGGACTGTTCAAAACCGGGCACCCACAAAACACCAGCAATATTATACAATGGTTGGATTATGGATTTACCAATATCTACAACCCAAAACAATTATTATCCTTGAATGTCATGAACTCTGATCTTGCCAGCCAACTATGACAATATTTCAAATAAGAATTAAGCTTGATACAAGGATCCTTATTTGATTAGTGAGTGACCTAAGAAACTACCATCTCCTGTTCACTTGTCTGTTAAATGACGTGTAATCAAGCTTTTGGCTGGTTGCCTTGTCTTTTAAAATCAATCCCATTAGAAACTTTTCATCGATAATTCGATTAAGTGGACAGTTATCAGTCTATCATATTGCATTATCGTACAGGATTTATGGATCAGAATTCCACTAATTCATCTGAACCATCCAAAATGCTTTGCGCCATAATTAATAAAATCCTCCTTTGGAACACATGTTCTAATGTTTTGTTAAACCCAATTAATCATAAGGATGCGATAAACAGTTTTTGTGTGAAAGTAACCACAACATAGCTCACGTCATCACAATAATAATAATAATAATTAAAAAAACTTCAACGTGATTCCAAATATGTTTGTGCAGCAAGTCACAAGCCACAACTATTGTACAGACTAATAATTTTAACTATTATATAAATCTCTTGAGGATGAGTGAAACTTAAACCATAAGGACAATCATTGTTCACCTAATTCATAACGAAGTATAGTTTAAAAAAATTCATTTTAAAGATAAATCACACCTACCACAGTGAAAAATAAACTAGCAGAAGCTGTTGATGCATGGCCCGACATGAATGACAAACTAAGTAGATAAAATAATAATAATAAAGCAAAAGAATATTGTTGAGCATGTTAAACTATCAAATATGATTTATTAGAAAGATATTCAGTGTGAGAGTATGTAATGGCATGAACGTAATATATATTTGTGTTAATTTAGTAAAACTATGAAGATGAAGTAACAAATTTAATTAAAATAATTCAAGTAAATGATTGCATTGCTATTGTAATTCATAAGTTTGGTCTTGAATAAAGCGATTGAACAATATTTGATGAAATGATCGAATTTAGTGAACAATTACAATGTACGTTGATGACTTCATATGAATAAACCTTTTAGTTTTTGAAAATTGATTCAATAAAACAGAATATGAAAATTCTGAGTTTTTAATTAATTAATAATGCAAAATTAATGTCTGGGTATTGCATTGTTTTCATTCAAGACAGTAATCGAGTCAATTTAAGGTGCTAAACAAGATGGTAAATTGTTTAAAGTTCTTAATATAGCCTCTGGTTCTAGAGTAGGTACCTGGCTTTAATTAGGAAAGCTAGCACGATTGTTTTAAGTTGTAGAATAGCATTACTGATAAGACCTAGAATTAGAAAACTATGTATTTAATTCCACTGTATTAGGACAGAGAGGATATTGAGAAAGTTGGAACTTTTAGAACTAATGTATCACGAGTTATTACCTTTATTTTTACTACGTGATTACTGAATACCTGGATTATTGTCTTTTATATTTTCAGTAGTGTAAGCTTCTGTTTGATACATACACAATTGTCATATGGTTTACCTTCACTAAATTGTTATTGATTAAGTACGAAATTACTACGTTTTTTCACTTATGGTGTACTTATACAGGCATTGTAATTCGCGGTGCTATGCAGTAAAGTAATTCATTCTGAGCTTTAAGTGACAATGGATGAATCAATAATAATAGGTTTTCTTGGCTTGATGTACTTGACTTAGGACTGGGTGTTGGGGACAAATAAGAACATGGACTTTAGTGGTCGTTGTTTATGGTCATTTTTTGTTGGTCAAATCATATGAAGATCAGCGGTCTGATAGGAATAAGCGTAGGCATCATTAGAAGACCCTATCGTCAAATAGCTCGATCACGCGGGCCCTAAAAATAAATCGAAATTCTTAATTCTAGTTCACAAAACATCGAATTTAAGTATTGTGAAAACAAAGTAGATACACATGATTATCCATGACTAGACAGAATATCTACTCATATAAGCAAGTAGTGCGATATTTAAAGACAAAAAGCAATCGAAAGACGTGCTCCTCTAGATGGAAACTCAGAAGCGACCAAGAGAGTTGAATTTATTGATTTAAAATGATTTTTTGACTCCATAAGTTGCCGAGAGTCTCAAAATAAAACTTTTAAGTGTACTGTTTTTAAATTATTTTGAGATAAAATTAACTCATAACTAAAACTAATAAGAGTAGAGGAACTAATCGATTTGAATATAGGGAAAGAGAAAAGATTACTTACAATACATCAGCAATCAATTTTGAATCGGTACCCTGACACGTATATGTTGTCTGCAAACCAGTACAATTTACAGGGACATTTGGTCGGCAAATATCCCAAAAATGTGGCCTCAAACGGCCTAGATAGTATTTTGTAATTGTAGTTAGAAAAAACGTTGTTCCAAGAGATATGAGAGCAGCAACACAGAAATCATAGATAAATGGTAAGGACTGAGAAAATAAAGGTAACATGAGTGATTGATTACAGTAACTTACACCCTTAATTGAATAATTTTTATTTTCAGTACATCTCTTCAGTACAGCAGTGGTTATCTCAACTAAGCAAATCTTTTCAGACAAATTATTTTCTCATTAACACAATTTACTGTAACAAGTGGAGTAAGGTAACTAACTAACGTTACTACTACATTAGTTATAGTATTCTCTTTATATGGATATTTGATGCTCCAATCATCACAGAAGAAACTCCATTTGTGACTTACACAGTACTTGATCAGAAAATAAACAGCATGAACTAGAAACAAGGGGAATCGAGTACGAGAATTAACTTACGTAAAATAATAGTCAATAAATCTGAAGAAATACGAAGAGCTAATGGAAGATTCATTATCACAGTATGTAGTATGTTAACAGAGTTGATATCAATGATAAATTTCCGAACTCAATTGCAGTAAATGCTTTCACTACCAAAGACAAGAGTAGATACAATGAAACAAGATAAATGAAACTTAAAAATGATTTTTTCATTTCATAAAAATAAGATAGGGTTCGATTATCATTTAAAATAATAGGTAGTAGTGGATTTTCATACCGGAGCTGTTTGAGTCCACTAAAGCTACCAACTACTGGTTGATGGGATAATATTAGTAAACCTAGAATCAGGCAACCATGTAGCTTTATAAGTATCAAAACTGAAACCTGCGATGGGGGGACAAGTATTTGTCCACGGTTGGAACTTTAACTGCTGTCTGGAACCTTGGATCAACTGTAGAAGTTTTGAATGATGGCTTACGTTTCTTTGGATCTTTCCTAAACATTCGCTAGATGACATGTTACAAGCCAGAAATTAGATTTTAGGTAGATTATGTACTACTAAAGACCAATATATGTAACTCAAATATGTTTCGCTGTCAACTTTAAGTCAATAGAAAGTCCAGATAATGCTCAAAAGCTTTGATCACTGTTAGTTTTATAAAACTTCAGGAGACGTCACGTTTATCTATATAGTTTATTCATTGAGCTAAACATGAGTCCTATAAACGGATTTTGTCAATGATTTAACACTCTGGAAAGAAACTTGAGGTTCTCATATGATACACAAGATGAGGAAGGTAAACAAGAGAAACCAAGTATATTACACTGAATAATTGTGAATCGTTTCAAAGGCTCGAGTATGATTTTAGGATCAAATAAATGAATCTAGGTGTGTCGAAACTATCTATCAATAGCATTCCACATTTACCTACGTGTTATCGTTAATTAGATAGTGTAAGACCTTAACAGCTAAGTAAAATCAGATGCAAGGCCAAGAACGGGTCTCAATAGTGCACGTACATTCAGTTTTTGTCTTATCTTACATCTTCAGTTTTAAAACTATCCATAGTTTTTATTTCTTTAATTCATTCTTTTACCGCAAATCATATTATCTATATCTAGTCTTTTTTACTACCACTGATACCGTTGATACTTTAACCAGTCTTCGATTCGCCTCCATTATTTCATCTGGCTGTGCTGGTATGGTGTCGCAACTTGACAAGTTCTATGTTGCTTATTACTGACTTACTGAAATGAACTTCAACAGAAACTAGTTCATCACTGGATTAACAGGGAAAAACACACTCAGCACTCAGTACAATATGACGTGGCTCGTCGGATTAAAAACCAAACGAGATTTCAAGAAATCTATGTGAAAAGGTTTTTAGATTTAGAAATCACTCATGCGACTGAGGATATTGCTAATCTAAATATTCTTCCACCGTTAGCAAATAGCAATCATGCTGTTTTGTCACCCATGTTTGGAGCTTGTGACATAATATACGATTAGGTCAAACCTCTCCCAAGTATTTCAGATAGAATAATATTACAGAATGATCTAGATTCATGTGTTGAATGGATGTGTAGTCGGTTACAAGAAGTCAACTCTAGCAAAAATGTAGTGATGCAAACAAATAACCGTGATAATACATATCACTACACAATGTGTTGTGTTACACAAAGTAACGGACTATAATTATCTAGGAGTCATGTTAAGTAGTAACTTTAAAACTATGGGTAACAGTAGGGCTGCTGTTGCTAAAGGCTTTAGGGTTTTATGGGCTATTCGTAAGTTTTTTCAGTACTTGAACGAAGGAACGTTAAGGGTCATATATCCGAGCTTTTGTCCATAAGGATTAGCCGCTCACAAACCGTGCAAAAAGACGAGAAGCTAAAAAAGAACTAAAACTTAGGTTAGATGCTGCCGAAAAAGACCTAAAAATTGTAGATTTTCAAGTTATGAGATTTCGACAGAGAATGATTCCGAAGCCACTATGAGTGCAGCACGAAGTCTTTCAAATAAGCTTCGGATCTGTTACACGAATGCCTGGAGCTTGCTCAATAAGCCGTCTGAACTAGGTGTGCAGATTGATTCTACCAAGCCAGATGTAATCGCAGTCACAGAAACGTGGCTGACGCAGACTATAGACAGTATGGAACTTGATATTGAAGGTTTCACGTAAGTAAAAGTCGACTGAGTCCAGAATCGTAAAGGAGGAAGAGTAGATCTATTCATCAGGAGTACTTCCTCATTCGCCATTATTGATAACGCATTCCATAAGAGTGGGACGTGTGAATTAGTTAGTTGCCACTTGAAATGCAAGGGACAGGAGATGCTCATTGGTCTGGTCTACTGCAGTCAAATCTGTGAGGTAAATGAAGTTTAGCCAGACGGTCTCAACACATGATCACAAAGTGGTCGACGTCTAACCCTAGATGACTTTAATGCACCCACGGTAGACCAGAAAAATCTGAGAACTGAATTGTCAGAAAATTTATTCAAGCAGGAATTAGTTGATGCGGTTATCACATGTGCCCTAGTGCAACATGTGAAAAAAGGACTAGGTACGTCCCAGACTCTGAATCATCCTTAATAGATCTTATATTGACCCATTATGAGGATGACGTCACGAATCTCGATTACATGCCACTCCTAGGTGAAAGTGATCATGCAGTTCTAGTTTTTGACTTCTATATAGTTGTCAGTTCAACCCAGACCTAACGTATGGAAAGCGAATATGGAAGATATTATAGACTCAGCATCGTCAGTAGATTGGAAAATAGAGCCAGAGTTTCAAATCGAGACAATTTCGGTTGTATTTCGAAATGTGTACTTAAAAGACACTGCATCCCACATCTCTTGGACTAAACCGAGGGGTTTGAGAAATTCCCCATCATGGTTCAGTAGGGAGATTCACACACTTCTCTGTAAGAGGAGAAGAATGTGGGTAAGATTTGGGTTACTGGGTACTGAAGAGACAAAATCTCAAAGCCGAGAAGCTCGAAGTACTTGTACCTCAACCCTCTGTAAGTTTAGAAGGTTGTCTGAAGAAAAAATTGTTAAGGAATCTATAGAATGGCCTTAACGCCTGCATTTGTATATAAACCAAAGGATTAAAAAAGGGGAAATAGTCAAGCACTACGAGGAGACAGTGATGCTTCATCATCAGTGGAGGACGACTATGGTAATGTTCAAGTATTCCCAAACCACTTTAGAAATGTATATGTCGTAGAAACCCCCTTAACGTCAGTTCATACAAATCCCCCACATACACCGGACAATATGATCATTAAAAAACTCGATGTCTTTGGTCTGTTAAGTAAGCTTGATATAGGCAAATCCGCAGGACCCGATGAATCGCATCCTAGGTTACTAAAGGAACCCCCTAAATCAGTCAGTCAGCTACAACGTAGGACCAGGAACACATATGCATCGGTTCAAGTTGCCATATCTCGTTAGCACAACAAGATGAACACCGGATTCATAGAAATAGTTAATTTAGTGGTGGTATTATATAAAAGATAGGTTGTATATAAGGATATAGTGTAGGAAGGAAGAACGTTATGAAGCAATTTTAACCTTAAGGTTTAAGGGAAGATAAAGAGTCTATACACCCCCTAAGTATATGCTTTAACCTATCTGTAACCCAGGGTCAATTACCAAAAGACTGGAAGAACGCCACAGTAAGTCCTGTCTTCAAAACAGGTACGAAACGTAAACCTGAGAACTACCGACCCGTTAGCTTAACCACCATGATTGTTAAAAGTTTAGAAAAGATTGTTCGGAAGGAGCTGTTTAAGTATCTCTACGACAACCGGATTCTTTCTGAAAAGCAGTGTGTTATTCCTCTTTTATGTAAATGACCTTCCTAGTTTCCTATCATCATCGGTCTTGCTATGTGCTGACAACGATTCCCGCACTGCCAAAACTCCTGTGTGATGCTCGACATGCCCTCAATTTTCTTGTCTTGCAAAACAGCATTTGCGAGGACACGTGATTGAAACTCCATCTGTCGACTCTTTGAAAAGAAAGTTGGATCAACTGAGAGACCATAATTGCTAAGGCAACACAGGTCACCTAACCTCCCGTCCATTCCAATCTGAAACTGACTTTATTGAGGCCACATTCGGAATAGGGTATTTAAGCAGCGGATGCCTGTTTCATGTATGAGGAAGATATACAAGAACGGATTTAACGATGAAGGACCCAAACGGTAACAAGTCTCTCTGGCCTATCCTTCAAAAACAAACCGAGACTGCTGAACCTATTTCCGTCATCTTACCGCAGGTTACAGGGTGATCTAATACTGGGTTACTGTATACTAAGCTATGATTTTAGTATTAATAGGTCTTACATTTTACTTCATTGTAAAACTGATCATTTAAGGGAGAATCTATGATAATTTAAAAACAGATCAAAAATCTTAAAACCCAACTGGGATAATTCATATTCCACTATAGCAAGTATGCTTTTGGTACAATAAATACACAAAAGCAAAATTAATTCACAACAAGCACAAAATCACCTCCTTTGTTTGAAACGCGTCGATTTTTTTTATGTTTCGAGGTGTCGATGTACCACCAGGCAGTGTATGGGATAGTGTAACGCGCACTTCAAAAGAGACACTGTGAAAAACTATGTACAACAATCATGAAGTTGGCAATTTTGTGATTTAACTTCAACTTTGTCCGGGAGGATGGGTGTTTTATGCAATGTTATACACCCACCAATGATAACAACGACGACAATAAAATCATTGTTGCGACAGACTCCAATCGAGCATAGCGAAGTGCCCAGGAAAGGACCTGAGAATGCTGATGGGTGATCTATAAGCCAAAGTCAGAATGAACTACTATGGTTATGAAGATATCATTCAAGCAACATGGACTAGGAGAAAGAACCGAAAATGCAAGAGATTTGCTACTCTATCTGCATTCAACAAAATGGTTATAAACTTAACAATATTCCCACACAAACGCATACACGAAGCCACATATACCACACCACAGCACACCACACCAAAGAGAACCAGATAGATCACATTTGTATCAACAAAAAATTTCGAAGGACCC